TACTTGAGCTGTATATTTGCTCAGGCATACTGTACAGTAAATCTTACTTTTTGATCATTGGGGGGGTGCTATTCACATGGACTGAGAGCAATGTGTTCTTACCTCCACTGTCTATAATAATGTCAACTCCTAATCCCCCGGTCTCTTCTAAGCAAACACTGCGTATTGTGTTGGTTTTACCATTGCTGACGTCAATGATGGAAGCTGCGGAAGATAAAGAAGTGTGTGTATGATAGCTGTGCCTGCGAATTAGCTGCGGAATGGAGCAGAGAATGTAGATGGTACATGGCTGTTTATGTAGCTAATAAATGAATGATAATAAATTGTGAGGTCTCGCCACAAAATGAGTCTCATGGTTAGAAAATTTGAGTTTATATTATATTTGGGTAGATCACATTACAAGATTTCATTTGGTCTTTGAATGCCTTCCCTGCTATAAGTAAATCCAGAGATGTGAACATTTAAAGTTTAGGTATATAAGAACCACGTTTTGAGAAAATCAGCCTCAAAGATAAACTAACCTGTACAAATAATATGACTAGAATTACAGAATATTTGCATATAACACTGTTTTGGCAAGAAAATTCACTTACAAAGTATACAATCATAAAATATAAGTACAAAGTAATTCAAAAACATTAAAATCAAAATTTTGTAAAAATGTTGACTTTGGCCTGTTTTGGTGAATATCTCAATATGATTTCACCAACGATGCATCTCATTTCGTGGTGAGACCTCACAATTTAATGCAGTACTGTGATCTAGTTACACAAAATAGCACTACAACTATTCTTTAAAGTCAGGCACAAACTTGATTTGACTTTAATTTATTTATTTTATTTATATCATAATATACGCAAAATACTAGAGAAAATATAAATTACAAGGCAAATTAATTACAAATAATGAATCAGGAAAGCTTATTTTCGATGGGGTCCTATATTAAGACATAAAATGCACAGTACAAAATCAAAATGTAAAATGGAAACGGTATTAAAGGGTACAAACAAAGGAAAATGTAATGCCAAACAATGAAGTTAATCATTTTTTCCAAGTGGCAATTTCTTCAGAAGACAAAAAATACAAGCAAGACGCTCTACATAGACCAAGTCTCATTAGGAGGCTTAGGGAGTGGTGTTCAAAGTATGAGAGGAATTGACCCACGACCCTGGAAATGGAAAGCAAGCATCTTAACCACCAAGCTATTCAACTTCACTTCCACTATTATTACTATGAATTTCGTCATATTATTAATTGTAAACTCAATCAAGCTTACTTATTGGAGGTTTAAATGATTCCAAGTGAAGTTTCTCCTCCTGCGAGTTGACAGTAGTGATGACCTTTGCACCCCAATTCTGGGCCAGCTGGATTAAACATGACCCATTTTTCTGAAAATATATTCGTTCTGAATGATTAACCTATACATAAAGCAGCACAACTAAATGCACTTAGTGTACAAAATGTACTTTATAAAGTACAGTTGGCCCTTCAATATGAGTGCCTGTTAATTCCAAGACCCCTCTAAAATGAGGCCACATTTTTGAACTATAAACTATTACCTTTGCTTTTTTTTAACACAAAAAGCTAAATCTCTACAATGGCAACCACAAGACCACCTAAAATTTTCATGATCCAAAGGTGGTCTCAATGTGGAGGGCAAACTGTATTTAAAATATATGATAATGTTAGTTTAAAGCACAGTATAACATTATCATTACTACGCTTGCCTCCCTGAAGGAGAGGTGAAACGTACTGCAACAGCGCACATCTGTGTGTGTGTGTGTGTGTGTGTGTGCCTATGTTTCTATGTGCATAACTTAAGAACTATTGGATCGATTTACTTTCACACATTGACAATGTTACACGTACCGCTCTCCTCTACGATTTTGTTGCTAATCGAAAGTATGATGCAGATTTTAGAATGTTTATTATATATTTTCCGGCAACAGAGCCAATTAGAGCAGATCGCTTGGCTAGGATGAGCCAACTCGAGCAGATCGACTGCAGGCCAGAGTAGGGGGTGTGTGAAATTCAAATTCTCGGCCCGCTGGACTGGAAGCGGTCTGGATGACATACAAACTCGAAAAATTGTTGGCCTTACTGCTTGAGGCTAGGCTTTGTTTGGCGGGTCAGGCAGTGGCGACTCTAGGATATAATTTATGGGGAACTAAGATATCCGATTGGGAGGGCTAAGTATTTATATGTGTAACTCTAGCCGAAGGCCCGAGCCGGGAAGGGGTATGGGAGGGGGAAGTGTCCCTTCCTCCCAAAACGAGATTTGTTTTTAAAAAATTGGGACTTCTAGACTAGTAGATGGCCTGAAATGGCGAGGATGGAAAAATTTCTTTTTTCTTTTCGGTCCGACTGCACGACGAGCTTTGGCCGATGAGGGGCTTGACCAGACTGATGGGGGGGTGCAGCTTAACTTCCCTGCCCCCGCTGGCGCCACCACTGGGGTCAAGTGGATTGACCTTGGGCCATTATTTTTTTAGTACATATGCAGGACAAGTGTTTGTAATCTCAGATTATCTTGTCTCTCATTATTATTCTACTATACTACTATTACTGTATTTCTATTTTACTATTATTACTACTGCCAACATCACTATCGCCATTATCCCTATCATCACCACTATCGCCTTCTCATCACTATGTTGTAGTCATTGTCATCGCCAGCATCATCACTATTATTTACCGTTGCACCATCCATAACAAGTATGGTTTCTCCGGCACACATCCTGGCTTGGATTTGTAATGCAGTATAAGCTCTGACGCCCTCATACATGCACGCCACAGCCTCATTAAATTCCAATCGCTTCGGTTTCGTAACTGTAAATATAAAACCCCAGGTAATGGTTTACTAACTGGATGTGTAAGGAATAAAATAAAAGAATTCTAACCAATTTCAAGGGCTATAGAAACATTGTTATTTTTTACATCTCATAATTAAAAAGAAATATTTTTAATTGAAGATTATTAAATTACTAGAATATACAAAATATTAAAATATTGAAATGTAATTTATCTCATCCTAGGCAGTGCAGTAAGTGCTAATTATTATCAAATTAATTTTTTTTTGTATAAATATTGTTATTACACCTAAATTGATGTAATTCTTACGTAAATCATATTCGTTGACAACACATAAATCCGCACAGCCGGAGTACTGAGAATCGAGCGGAAGAAGCGCGACAACTTCATCTCCAGATTTGAACGAGTTCACACAGTTTCCAACGTCTTCTACAACACCAGAAATGGCACGCCCGATTGGCATCTCCGATGAGGGTAAATTAAGTTGTTCTATGATCTAAAAAAAAAAAAAAAAATAGAGAAGCATTGTCAAACTGCCATAATGGCACCACAGATTCCCCGACGAGGGATCCAAGGTCTCGAGAGAGGTCCTACCTTGGTTGGAACAATTTTAAGAATAGCCCAGAAATGTCGTCAGTCTGTAAACTGCTTTTTCAAAGAGGTGTTCATCACTGAAATGACTGGCTTCAATAACTATAGGGATCCAGGGATCCCAATGGGGAGTTCTGTGCCCCTGCTTTAATAGTAATATCGTTGATTTGATTTGAATTGATTCGGTAAGATCTGAAAACTTATTCACATATAAATGTACAAACAAAACGTGGAGAAGTCAAGCCAAACCAGTCACAAATTGTGTTTCGGAGATAATGGCAAAAAAATGTTGGAATGTCAAAATTATATGTTCAAAATCTATTATATTTCACTAAACTAAACTGTATCTATACATACTACTATGTTGTTATTTTCACCATCTTCAATGTTAATACAACATTTTTTAACAATTTGGTGATGGTCTCTGCCTGAGAGAAACCGTAAACTTTGGAGGCTCATTTCTCAAATAATTTTCTTTAAACAGCAGTATGTTTAAACTCTTGTAGCTTCAAAATTAAATGTTGAATTTAAATGATTCTTTTATCATTTTATAACTGTCATTTTACTATTTAATCCTGTATTAGCTAAAACTCAGTTTTTACTAGAAGTGACTGGTTTGGCTTGTCTTTGCAACAAATGGTAAATCAGATCCAAGACAATGGTATCCCAGTAAATGTGTTACTTACTACTACTGGGATCTACCACCTATCCCCATCATTGAAACAAATATGGTACAATCATAAAAGATAATACAGAAAAAAACATAATCATCACATATAAAGTTTTAACTACTGGCTCATTCACTTCAATTTTTTTTTTAATTGAAATTAAAATTTCCTGTAATTAAAAAAAAAATTAAAGGTTATGGTCCATTCATTGCCACAATAGAAAACAAAAATACGAACCTGAACATCAGTGGTCGACAGCGCACATGCTTTCACCCTCACCAATACACAGTTTTCATCAGCTGTATCAGATAATCTAAAGTCTGCCTTTTGATAGAAAAGTGGAAAAAAAATAATATTTGTATCGTACGATTGTCTTTTGGTTCACGCAATGAACAATGACCTTTCCGGAGCGTCAGTCAAATGTAATATTTGACTAATCAGAAACTTACATTTACGCTGTTGTTTTGTGGGACAGAGCAATATTATCTAAGGGGCGGGTCTAAGTGAAAAGGTCAATCGTTCTGAAAAACTCTCAATTTTGAAAAATTCTTGTATTAAAAAGATTATAATTGTTTAATTAATTACATGGTAATATTGTATAGGTATATTGGTTATTAACATGGAAGTAATCAAAATTCCAACACGCTAATTGGTCGACTTGGCTTTACCCTCGGGGAAGGCTGTTTGGTGCAGGGACTTCCATTCGGGTTCTGAACCTTGTTGTCGAGGGTTCGAAACACACGCTGGCCATGCTTAGTTACCCCAGCCTGCACTGTTGAAAGGTTGTGAAGTGGCTCACGCTATGTTTCAGCCCTAGCTAGGTGCGAATATTCCATGGTTTAAAAATTAAATATATTGTGGCCGCATCGCATCAATACTTATGTGTAACATCTGAGGCCTCATTTAGCAAGATATACAAAAAAAAAAAACAATAAAAAAACCTTAAAAATAACTCTCGCTTAATTAATTTCACTACATCTCGATGTAAGCATAGGACCAGGCTAAGCAAGGTTCAAGCCAATTTTTAGTCTTTAGAATTAACATTATTTATTTATAAAATCTTGACCCATGTTAATTGTACGAAAACATATTTAAGAGGCTGCAACAAAGACTAAATTCAGCAGTCTACTGGTATATAGCTGTGGCCTGGCCGCCTAGCTAGGCCCGGTAGTTAGGCCTAGGCCCACAGGCGACGGCTCGCCTGGCGTGCTGTTCTTTCTTTCCTCCCGTGGCTGTGCCGCCCGTATGCTACGCTAGCCTAGCAAGGAAAGTAAAGTACGGCATGATGCCTAGCCTAGGGACAACTAGCGACTTGAGTGAAACACACATGCCTACATTTTCTTTTAATATTGCTATTTCAGAGTCCGAGCCTTCAGTATCCTTCCTTAAATACAGAGATCTCATCTTGACAATAATTCATGAAAGAAAGGGGCGGTCACAAAATGTGTTGTGTGTTATTTTGATTATCTGACTGCTCATGCATAAGAAATATCGACATGACCTTTTCTGACGAACGCTAAAGTAATGGGAATACGATTGGTCAAATATTTAGTAGTAATTACAGTTACAATTTAATTAAAATCAGTATTTTGGTACACTAATAATATATATTGTATTTAATTGAAAGAAAAGATATTATAAAAGACCCCTTGCTATCATGCTAGTTTAAATATGTTATGACATAATGTGTTGTTGATCATTATTTTGACATCATATCTCACATAAACAACCAATCACTGACACCTATCTATTTCTATCGAAGAGGCACAACAAGTGTGAGAGGGAACTGTGGGCATGGCGAAGTTCAACCCGAAAGGGCGTCTACTTTGGTCCTGATTTCGGCTATCGTGTAGAATTTGCATCACCTAAATCGTTAGTAGTACACAACATTTTAAGTATTTAAAGAGGCTTGTATATATTTGCTAGTTTTTATTGTTTAGTAATTAGTGTGTTGATTCAATACGTTGATTTAATGCTGCTAGCCTAGGCCTACCTCCTCCTACACTTTCGCCTGCGTCAGCAGCAGACGGAAGGGACACAGGTCGTCCAGGGTCTGAGATAATCAGAACCGTCTATTGAAGAGCCTAGGCTAGCAAACGTTAGTATGATTGGCTTTTTGAGTTATGCATAACCTAGAAATTATTCAACAAACAGCTATATCAATAACACATCATCGGCGTTAGTTATTGTATTTGTATTCGTTTTGGATTTCTGATGAACAAACAAAAAAAAAAAAAGAAAAAAAAGAAAGAAAATTCATGAAGTACAACCAATGGGTGGGGTGGGGGCGCATTATCTAGCCATGCAGAGAGAAAGTTGATTTTAGACTGCAAACGTCAACATTTTAATTAAGTTTATACAGTGCACTACCATCATAGTACCAAGCTGTTACTAGACTTTAATATTATGGCCTGTCTGTGAAGGGAATATATCCTTACACAGCAAAAGTTTGGCCTAAAAATAAGTCTGTGCATTTTGGAAAATAAGGCCAATTTTCCACAGAGATTTTCCCTAAAATTATGCTTTAAACAAATCTTAATATGTAACCAGTGCAATTATGCAGCAATTACGATTTCACACACCTATTTTTTTAGAGATTTTCTGCACAAATTTGAGCTGATTTTTTTAGATATCCTCTGCACAATTAAAACACTTTACAATATGGGGCTGTTAATACTAGGCGATTTTAGTTTGTCTATTTTATTATTGTTTATGAAATATTTAGCTTTATAAGTACAATAAATAGCATATTTATTTGGTTAATTTGCTGTTTTAGAATGTGTAATACTTTCAGTGTACTTATGTATTTCTTGGCCAATTTTCAATTTCAATATTGAAAGTATTTTTCTTGTTTCTATTTATAGCATCACATACAACAATGATGATGAAAGTACAAAATTAATTTCTTAATTTAATTATATATAAATAGAAAAATATAAATATAACATGGGGTCTTAAATGCAAGCCTAAACTAAAACCACTATAGCTGCCAAAATGTGAAATAGTAGAACCCCTCCTTCAGGACACCCCTAGAAGCTGACACATTCTTGATCACAAAATAAAGTATTTTGAATACTTTGGCCAAACCCTATTCAGGGGAAACACTGAATTATCCCCAACGACAGAAACGGCTCAACATTAATGAAAGCTACGACTTAGTTCCTTTGCTAGATGATTTTGTCCTGTATAATGAGTTTAATTATTAAACTAAAATATTTGAAATATATTAAACCATATGTTTCTGTCCCTCCTGGCAACTTCATTATTAGTCACCATAACTTTTAAGTATGAGACTTAAACTTAACCTAAACAGTTGGTGTTGATAACTTAGTAAAAAATTTCCCAATTATTTTATTTATTAAATCTATGTACTTTTTTCATTTTGTCTGTCTAATACTAATAGTCTCTTTTTATTTTAATAGATAACTTTCATATTTTATTGTCATTGCATCAAAATCGAAAATGATTTTTTAGTCGTTAGAACTTGCTATATTAATATTGTTGGCTACTGTATAATTTAGTGTCAGTGCCTCAAAACACTACTATGGTTAAAATTTAATTTGTTTTCATTTTTCTTTTATAGAAATGAAGTAGGGTGACAGAGTATTAATCTTGATTGAGGAGCCACCAGCACAACTGTGCTTTTCTGTTTTTTATTGGAATTTATAAACAGCTGTTGAATACTATAAACACAATGCAAGCTGCTGGAACTGGTAAGAATAAGATCAACTTATTAATTTTTGCTTAGTGGTCATTCAACATTATCAATATTTTCACAAGTGTACAAACAGTACGCTAGGGGGAGGGGGCAGACAAATATGTACACTCTTACATTTGCATAAAAATGTTGATTTAAAATAACATGCAATATGTAAAATAATAATGGTGAAATTATAATGTAACTGATTGTTAATTTTAAAGCAACCAAGTACATTGCTTTAGTTACTGTAGTTGAATTGGAGAATGTGTTTTGCAATATGAACATTTTTTTATACACTTTCAGGGGGGATGGAGTGGGTACTGAAAAAGAGTACTATTTGTACCCTTGTGAAATGTTGATAATTGTGAACGACCCTTACCAGGGTAAAAAAATTTATCTTGTATTACATTTTTAGGTGGTTAAATATGGTTTTGTATGTTTTTAGTGATTACAGTATATGTTTGATAAAATGATTGTTTAATAATATTATTTATTTTATTTTCTGTTTAAAAAAGCCAGAGTATAATGGTTTTTGTTTGTATTTCAATTGTCAATATACTATTATAATAATTAATTTTAAAATTAATTATATTATTATATTATAATTAATTAACTATAATTTATTATAATTAATTGTCAATATACTGATTATAAATCATGAATACATTATCAAACAATTAACATTAACATTAATTAATTATATTATATTTAGTTAACTATAATTAATTATAATTAATAATAATAATAATAATAATAATAATAATTTTGGCTTATATAGCGCATTATGCTAATGCCTCAATGCGCTTAACAGTAAAAATAAAATTCGGGAAAAAAAATTAAGAAAAATACACGCTAAAAAGCTGCCTTAAAATCATCAATGGAAGTTGCCTGTCGGATTGTAATAGGCAGAGCATTCCAAAGAAAGACAGAAGCCCAAGAAAAAGAACGACTACCATAATGCTTTGTCGACGGGCGAGTGGAATGAGCAAGTAGAGATTCTGAACGAGATCTCAGAGACCTCAAGGAATGTAAGGATGAATGAGTTGTGAAATAAACATTGGCGAGGAATTATGAAGTGCTTTGAAAACAAATGATAAAATCTAATTCTCTGTGTTACAGGAAGCCAATGAAGGTGCCTTAACACAGGAGTGATATGATCCCTAATTTGGCTTAAAGTGACCAAACGGATACTGATTATAAATCATGAATACATTATCAAACAATTGATGTAAAGCAAAATATAAATCAGGGGTCTCCGGGATGAAGGAGCCTTCCAAGATGAGGGAGCCTCCCGGAAATCGAAATTGCCGCCCCGCCCACACTTCAGCAACTGGACAAGAATCGCCTTGAAAATAACCCATCTCCCTCAAATTTATGAAATCTGCATGTGTTTACTACTGTATTACCCCTTTATTATTATTTGTCACACAGGAGTCAGTATTGATTGGTATCACCATAAAAGTATCAAAACGAAATTAGGTGCTATAGAAAGCTTGTAAAAAAAAAAAACAGATCTCCCAGAAATGACTTCTTCCTACTTTGTGTATACAAAAAATAAGTGATTGGTCAGTTTTAGCAGTGGTACTGAGAATGCATCTGTCTGTCTGCTATGTAAAATGTGTAAAATGTTTTGATTGACTAATACAGATTCATTATTAATACTAATTGACTACTTTCATTTCCGGTTTTAATATGATTGACAGCTTTTGCTCCTGGCCTAGTCATAACGTATATCAAAACATAAACAACTGGTGCATGTAATACGGCATAATTATGCCGTTAAATGCATGTTGTTGATTGATGCAGACAAAACCATGACATTATTTCTACATTTTATGAACTTATATATTTAGGTATTAAACGAAACAGGTATTAAAGTACTTAGTGGCATATTTTTGTGAACAGTATTTAATGATTAGTAATTTTCAATTTCAACTGAGTTACAAAAATTTCTGAACTCAACATTTTCACCGTTTTGTGTTCCAAAGTACAATAATTCAAAAAAAGATAGGCATCCATTGTGAGCCTCAGAAAAATAGTCCTTAATTTGAGGTAATAATAATAGATAATAAAAGTATGTAATTTTTATATAGTGCATTTCAATACAGATTACTCTAGAATAAGCTTTACATGAACAAAAATAAACATGATATATCCTTCTCAAAAAAAACTAACAGAGAATTTGGCAAAAAATATAATACAGTACAGTCGTGAAATATTGCACTTTTACCTGCGCACAGGCTTCGTAGATACATCGTAGCCTGATATAAACAATCTAACCTGCGCGCAGGCTTCGAAGCCTGATATAAACAATCTAAGCAAGGCTACGCGAAGCGAACCTACGAAGCAAAAGCATGTTGTTTATTTGTATGTGCAGAAAGACTGCTGCAGCTCACTGGAATAAACAATGTATTGTTTGATAATTTGTAAATGGCATACACGAGTTTAGACCGTAAGTATGGAACTGTTTTTCAATAAGAAAAACGTACACTTGACTTCATAGGAGTCTCCTCTTCCACTCGCTGTCCACGACAGGAACTTGTTTGTACTGCTGCTGTATTATTTTTTTTAATTAATTAGCCTAGGCCTAGCTTATTTTTCATTTACAATTATTTTACCTCATTTAAAATGTCAAAAAAGGATGTCCTCAATGGCAATACACACATGTGAAAAGATTGTTCATCAAATGATATTGTCTTGATTTAGTAAGATAAATAATAAATATAAAGGAGAATTAACGTCCGTTGGTTGTAATATTACCGAATGTCACATGGAAAACACAATGGAAAATAAAACTTAGCCAGCATTAGACATCAGAGTGCGCGCCAATCAGAACACAGTAAACTGTGTTAAAGGTTAACCTCGTGGCAAATGTTGAAAAGCTGTGAGCAACAGTGAGTAAAAAACGGAGTAAATGCGGTCTAGCATGACTAGCCTTAATTCGGCAAGGTAGTGATTTCTATACTTCCATTTAGTATTGCATCGCTCTACAGGGTAGCAATAATTTTCAATAGTCGTTTGAGTACCGTATATTACCTAATTATTACTACAATACTACAGTACTGTGTCTACTGTTATGAGACCAGTTTTAATGTATAGTAGGACATAATATTAATATTCATAAATTACATTAATATTGCAATCAATTTTGCATAGATACTGAAAGACTGAGCATGTATAGAAAAATACTAATTGTAGGTTTATCTGACATTGCAGTGCTTTCTCATTGTGTAAGAATACAGTGATGATCATAGCAACAATAAAGAGGAATAAAATTACCGGTATACTGTCGTGTATATGCTGTATTGCTGTGACAGTATACAAAAGTGAAGAATAGAGAAAAGTGATAAAGCATAATGTCTACTCATAATAAATGTAATATTTCTGTGTCTGTATACATGTAGGTCTCCTTTCACTTTTATAAAGACAACTTTATTGGGACCGGAGTTGTCATGGACTTCAGCAGCTTTGGTCTTTAAGAATATTAAAGATAGTTTTATCAATATCACTCTACAGAAAAGTGGTCTTAATTGGAGGTGGCTTTTATATTGAATGAGTCTCTAATTAGAGAGAGAGAGACTGTATTTGCTTATCATACCTCTAATCAGGGCTTGCAATTCTCTTGGAGTCTACAGTAGGCCTATGTCTCTCTAAACAAAAATTGGATTACAGTTAATATCTCACAGATTTCCGACTCTGTTGATGATGATTTTTATTTAACTTTTGTTCTAGACCTACAGTAGATCATATACTGTTATTGTAAAGATTCTGTAATCAATAACACTTGTTGGCTACCTATGTAAAAGTTTTGCTTGTACCTTGAATATTTTCAAAAAATGCATTTAACTTTCTCCTTGAAACCTTATGAATTTACTTAATATTTTTGTATGATTACTTTCTTAAGATAACAAATGAAATTGCACTTTCATAGGTTATGGAGTGTACTATGGTATTCTTGTCATTTGATACAGGATCAGTTTTATTCACTTTGTCTCTTTTCTACTCCCTGGGGAGAATGCCCGAGACCTTTACATGTAATATAGCACCAACCAATTTCATTTTGTGATCATCCAACCAAGTTGGCTGATTGGTAAACAACACATCATCATACTGATTCTTAATTAGAGGGAAACTCTTCACATGTTTCCTTAGGACTTTTTTTCAGTTCATACTACCAATAATATAGGCCTACAGTACTGTACCTTGTGCATTGATTAGAAAAAATGATGAAAGAACAGGGCAATTTTTAGATTATAAAACTTATAAAGCTCCAAATTGACAAAAGTCATGCTCCAGAGGAAAAACATTTTTTTGATATTTTGTAGAACTGATTTTTGATGACAAACTGGGAAATGGTTAATAAGATACAGATTTCTGAATGTTTAAAAACTGGGGAAAAGGGGCGTAACCACTTCATTAACCGTTCCCCAGTTTGTCGTCAAACAACTTTTTTTTTCCTCTTAGAAAAATCAGTTCTACAATATAACAAAATTTGTTTTTCCTCCGGAGCTTGACTTTAATAATGAAAGCTTAAAAATATGGCTATAAATCATGCTTGGGCCATTTTTTTGATATTATAAATTTTGCCAAAAGCAGGGAAAAAAATCCAACACTTGTTATTTGAGATTTTGGGTCAGTCAGGCTTGGCCAACACTTAGTGTGTTTTTGGCCATTACTCAATTTACTTTGCAGTAATACAAAACATGAATGCAACAAACAAAACTTGTTCAGATAATATTTCTTCATATTGTTGAAAACAATAATCTTTTGACCTTTTACAATGACCTTTGAATGTGTTTAAGTGTTTTTGTTTTTTTTGTAACAAGAGCAACACATTCACATTATGGTATAGTACTTTTTTAATTCCTGTAAAACCATTTCCTCAATCCTCTTTTTATTACCAGAGTTTTATTAAAAACCTCTTATCTGGTTTCCGTTCATGTACCTACAGTACTAAGTACTACAATCTACTACTACTACAGTCTACTACTGTACATGTAAATCATCTGACAAATTCACTCAACCGGCTTGATTCATCGTGATTAGAGTCTTGAATATTTTATTAATATTTCCTGCTCTGGTTCACAATATATTCATAGGCCAGATTTTTTTCCCATAGATGTTCATCCAACTTGACTACTGTATAAGTAGATTGATATTTAGACATATTTTATTAAGAAAAATGCCAAAACTGTTTTTTTAAAGTTTTTGGTAACATACAGTTTCTAGCTTTTTACATAGCATGCATAGTGAAAGTTGGCATGCTCCTGTTTCCAACTGGGGATTTCAGTTCAGTCAGCCCGAAGGTGAGTGATACCGTAGCAACTTTTTTAGATTTATCAAGGCTCGTCTTTCCCTTCCTCTTTTAATTTACAGTAGTGCTTCAACTGTATGTATTAGCTATTCATCGCCTGTGTGTGTCGACTGAGATTAATATGCAACACTCTAATTAGAGACTTCTTTTACCTTTGGAAACAATCTAATTTTATAATAATTGTATTTTCTTTAAAGTCTATTAAAAGAATATTCTAAAAATGACATAATGGTTAAATAAAATCATTAACCTCAATAAAAAATTCCAAAGAAAACTAAACTTTGGTAGGATTGGCAAATTAATATTTTAATTCTGAAGACCTCAGGGTTAGTCGAGTAGCCGAGTCGGAAGGCACGGATGCCCCTAACTGCAGCCTTAACGAAACATCAGCGCCGGTTTGAGCCGCTCATCATCCAGAGTTCGGTTTAGTAGAACCAAGACTTTGTAGAACTTGTTCTTTGATTGATTATTCAAAAGAACTTTGTACTCATGGGTTCATGTTTCTGTCTTAGAACATAAATGGGCTTTAACTTGCGCCTCCATTGGACGGATTTGAGATTAATATCACCCAGGCAGATAATCCCTATGATTACTACTGTATAATAGGTAAGGTTTGTACATTGCTGGTGGTGTGCCACCAGAAAAATGCAGAACATGAGATAGTTTGGCTTAATGACAGGGTTCATGTTTCTGCCTTTGAACATGAATGGGCGTAGCCCACGCTTTCAACCTACAGATTAAGGACGATTAGTATCACCCAGGCAGATAATCGATATCATTATAGGTATTGTTTACAGTACCTACCTTGAAAGGTCTGTACACTGTGATTTGAAAAAAAGAACATGATAGATCATGACAGGGTTCATTTTTCTGCCTTAAAACATGAATGGGCTTTAAAACTCATGCCTGCAACTGACGGATTAATGACAGATTAGTATCACCCATCCAGATAATCCCTATGATTACTATAGGTAAGGTCTGTACATTACTGGTGATGTGACAGTAGAAAAATGCAGAACATGAGAATGTCTAGCATGTTGACAGGGTTCATGTTTCTGCTTTACAGTAGAACATGAATGGGCTTAGCCCACGCCTACAACTTACTGTACGGATTAATGACGGATTAGTATCACCCAGGCAGATAATCGCTATCATTATTGTAGGTACTGTAGGTCTGTAAGTGATAGTTGAAAAAAAAGAATATGTTAGATCGTGACAGTGTTCATGTGTCTGCCTTAGGACATGAATGGGCTTAACTCACGCCTGCAATGGACAGATTAATGATGGATTTGTATCACCCAGGCAGATAATTTCTATCATTAATGTATGTAAGGTCTGTAAACTACTCGTGATGTGCCAGTAGAAAATGCAGTACATGATAGGGCTCTGTTTATGTAACTTTATCCATGTGTGATATATTCTTCACTGGTTGTAGCAGGTACTGTTGAATGCAATATTATCAATAGCGATATCATATTTTATTTTGATTATTGTAGCTCAGATGTCTAGCGATGTTGTATATATATCATATTACAATATCATCGTATAATGGCCAGTTATGATATTGTGACTGGCTCTGGCAAAACTCGCTGTTTGTCACAATTTTTAATTTTCCACAAGCATCCAAAAAACATGAAAATCAGTATTTTGAACATTTTCATGTTTTTACATATGAAAGAAGATTGATGAAAATTTCTGCAATAATGTCAATCATTTTAAAAGTCTAACTGAAAAGTAGGAATATTATTTTTTAAATATAAATCTTAATGATTTTGGAATCTTTGGAAGCTATTTTCGTAAACCCTCCATTACTGTACATGTTATATTCATTTCATTTCATTTCATTTCTTTAGGCACAAGAGCCAAGAATATGCCAATCAGTGAACTTAATCACTATCTGGCATATCCATTAAACAATAGGGGGGCTGTTTGGACCAGTATACCGGGGTAACCCCCTACTCTTCTCGAAGGATGTACTGGGTTCTTGAAAGTGCACACAGTACAAATGCGTACACTGGGGCCTATGGTTTAAAGTCCTTGTCCGAGAAGACTTGTTCCACCACCGGAACCATTGGCGCATAAGCCGTTCGAACCAGCGCCGATATTATAGCTGAAGGTTACGGTGCCCCTGACTTAACTGCTCGGCCAATCAACTTTTTTGCGCAAATTTGAGCCAGTTTTTGAGGAATCATCCACGCAATTAAAATACTCAATAGTATGATATAAATATATGAAATCCATGTTGTATGATCAAATATTTAAACATATGGTTTAATACATACTATATATTTCTCAGTGCAGTTATCAGCAAAATATGCATGCAATTACCTGCTGCCTGCCCAAGCATTTTATTAAATGCTGTCTAATGTAGTATTAATATTAGGAAAATATTATAAAATAAAACACTGAATGAAACCATGCAATGAGAGTAATCTAATTTTAGCTCCGATGAGGAGCTATACTATATGAGTACCCTGCTGATTGATTAATTAATAATCTTTTTGCATGGGTGGCCGTTAGGGCCACTAGAACCACTTAGCTGATTGATTAATATATTTTGTTTGTATGGACGTTCGTTAGGGCCAATATACGCTACTGCCTCTATTATACTGCCCTCATCGAAGCTTTCGAGAACTTGTTTTTAAACAAATTACTTCAAATACAATTTTTAGTTTCGCAGTACCACATACCATTTATTTCATGCTATTTCACAAATAATAATGTACAAAAATAATGAAATATCAAAAAAATCAATGTATGTAAAGATGTAAATTAAATATTATAAAATTACTTAAAAAGGTCAAAAAGAAACCATGATTTTTAGACTCATGTCTGTAAATGTACATTATTATTTGATGTTTACATTTACATTCTTAATCCGATATAATTTTATTTAAAAAATAGAAAAGAAAAATAAAATTTGCTACAAATTCTAAATGTTATCTTGTACACAATCAGACTGGAGTTTGACTGGACAGTGTAGGTAATCGTGAAATTTTAATTTTATTATCTTGTTATTCATTTTAGATTGGCGGATCTTACCGGAAGACCGTGCAAAACATGACGCTAAATTTTTTGAACTGAAACCACTAAATGGCTACATCACAGGTAAGAATTATTTATTTTACTATCTATTTTATGTATTCTAAACTAGATCGGAATTCAGATAGTAGAATCGGCAAAGTAGATTGGCGGTATAAGAGCCTTATCTTTACATAATTACATTCAAATCATCTGAAATGAGTCACATGGGGATCTTCACAAAATTTTGTAAAACTTGGAAATTTGTGTATCGAAAAATCTCCCTAAGGATTTCAGCCTAAAGACCTATGAGTAATATATTAACTTTTTCATTTGTTCAATCAGTAATTCATTCATTATTTTGTAATGTAATGTAGATAAATTTGTTAAGGACTTGACATCGAAGTCTCTATGCCTAAGACTATTGGTTAGTTGATTCAGGTAGCCTACTATATGTCGCGAACAGATGTAGCACGTGATTGCATTGAAACACTGTGGCGCTAAACCAGTAACTCTAAGCAATGCTTAAAGTATTCTGTAGGAGTAAAGGCTACTGAATGATACAAAATAAAAAAGAACATCAGTAAACAGTTTTCTAGCAAATAATGCTCAAAGCGAGCTACAGTAGGTTGTATTATCATAATGCATACATAAAATTTTTTATATTGTTAACCCTTGTTTCTAAAGTGGTTCGCATTAAACAAACAATAGTTAAATATATTCAAAAAGCAAAAAATGTTTCGGAGAACGATAAACTTATCACATGATATTTTTCTTGTAGGTGACCAAGCGAGGGAGTTCTTTCTGCAGTCTAGGTTACCGCAATCCGTATTAGGTCATATATGGTAAGTTATTTTCGGCTATTTATGATGCAATTGTGTTGGATACAGTATACTGGGTGCATATTGAATTTATATTTTTAACTGGCTTATTGCATCTATTAGCCAACTGAATGATGTTTTTATTGGTAAGTTTTATGCATTTGAGGAAGTGAGTGATATTCTCAAGGTTGCACAACCAGGAAGCTTCATGTTGTTGCAGTTGTTGCTAAAGAGCGGTAGCCACTAAACAGCTAATAATAGAACACAAGTTACTACCCATACCATCACCCTATACCATCATTAACAACCATCCCACCACTGTGTACTATCTTTCTAAACTGTTGGTCTCAAATGCATGAGAGCTCGCACACACTTCGAACGCTTTTGAGAGTACTGAAAAAAAAAAATGCATTCAAATTATTAATGGAAAAAAAAAATTCCCAGGGTCCTACAGCATGTTGAATTTCGTCAAGTTACAAGAATTTTTCTCAAGGCAAGAGTCAACTCCACTCCCAAAGTGTCTATGGAACCTAGTTTGGGCCTCTTGAAATATGATTGGCTTGTGAATGGGATTGCTAATTCCAAAGTGAATAAGTTCACTATTATCAGTTCAGGACCTTTTGTGAAGGGAAAATAAGATAAATTATATAATACATTACTATAAATAAGTGTTTCTATTGAGTAATTGATTTAACAATTGCAATCCAGAGTACAAGTGTGTACCAAGTAGGGCTATTATCAGTATGGCTTGGTACAGTGTTCCTGGTAGTTGCTACTGTATCCGTTTAATACCATTTGATTGATTTTTGATAGCTTTAACAATCTGTGGTTTCCTTCCAGATTCAACATGGTACATGCATTGCTATATCACATTTCAGAGAATGATTGTGAAGAATGTTGGATAGCCAAAATGCTTAGTATAGAGTTTGCATAGATATCACCATATTTATTTAAATAAACGCTCTGCTTTGAATAATTTTCCCCCTCAAATAGACACCCTGGGGAATTTATTTTTTCTCAAATAAATGCCTCTTCTCCTTCCCACTCCAAATGACTGTAAAGTAAAACTAATGGAAGTAACACATTCTATTAATCTTCTTAGCAGAATTTTTTCTAACCTGGTTTGTTCAATAAATCTTTTACAATGATACAATAACACATTTTGATGGTAATTTTGAATTTGCAGTGGAATTAAGGTGCATTTATTTGAGTATATGCGTACAGTATTCAATTTACGCCCAAAAAAATAAACATATCCCTCGAATAAACGCCTGCTCAAAAATCCTTCTCAACAATATAGGAGAAAATATGGTATTATAATTTTTATAACTCCAATAACATTCTATTTTTTCATTATCTTACTATAGGACATTAGCTGATTTTAACCAAGATGGCAAGATGGACAAACTTGAGTTTTCAATTGCTATGTTCCTCATTAAGAAGAAATTACAAGGTATTGAGCTTCCCAATACTCTTCCACCTTCATTGAAGCTTCAGCCGCCGATGTCAATGGGGTCGTTCAGTAAGTAACCTGTCAGTCAGTCCATCAACATTTAGTCCCTTTTTAGTCACTCTTTGGGCACTCATCCAGACATTTTTTTGGGTCTCTGGCTCAAATCCACCATTTGCTTCTTTTGCTTTCGGTGGAAATACCAGATACAAATTTTTGACGAAGAGATGTTTCATCTATTTGTTCAGCATATACAGTAGAACCCCCTCCTTTGGGACACCCTATTAAGAGGATACCTCTATTGAGGGGACACCTTTTCTGCTACAAAATGGGGGAAAGTATATATCTTAACACTATGGCCAATCCCTATTCTGAGGAAACCCCTATTGGGGGGACACTTTATTGGTCCTGAAGGTGTGCCCCTTATGGTGTACTACTGTATTAGAATTCTGTACATTTATACTTTATTTGCATTTGGCATGGTTATGTGCCATATAAATAATCATTTTTAATATCAAACCTATATTATCGATCATATTAGTAATATTTTCACTGTTATTGTTCACAATGTGTATAATTTACCAAATTTGCTTTTAAACATTAAGATTAGGTTTGGCGTGTACCCTTGATAATTGTCATAAAAATATTGTGTATTATAAATATGTGTTCTAGCAGCTATATTATATTTATTGCAATGATAGGATCTTTCACCTAGGCTGGGAAATCATTCAGAATTTAATTTTTTTTTTCTTTACTCATTTTAAAAAACATCCTAATTTTTTTTTTTGTTTCTCCACAGATATGAGTCCAATGCACGGAATGGGTGGAATGCAGCCAATGGCGGGTATGCAACCAATGAACATGTCTAGTTCATTTGGAGCACTGCCCTCTAGTGGTATGCATATGTCCGGCTCAATGATGCAACCAGTACCTACCGCTACCAAGAGCGTACCCATAATGGGCTCACCGATGGGGATGCAAGCTGGAGGGGTTCCACCAGTCGTAGGCTCTCCAGATTCTAGGTAAAACTATTGTGTTATGTTGTTTTTTTTTCATCATAGAACAGCAAGTGATTTGTAACTTTCTGCATAACTATCAAGTTACTAGTAAATCAGCTGAAATATTCTCATCTTATTATAACTTATTCAATCCTTTAAACGATTCAGATTCATTTTATTTGTCTCCTACATAGATACATAACCTACATGATATGTGGCAAAGACCAGCCAAACCAGTCACTCGGTCCAAATCATGTTTCAGAGATGATGACCAAAATATGCTGGAATGTCAACATTTTTAAAATTTATTTTATTGCATTAAACTATACCTTTATATATATTTACATCATGCTATGCTGTTATTTTTCCTTTTTTCAATGTTAAAACTATAATTTGTAACGATTTGGTGGTTCCTGCCTGAGAAATTCCTAAAATCATTTTTGATTTCTCAAATATTGTTCTTTAAACAGCTGTATGTTTAATCGCTTGTAACTTCATAAGGAAATGTCAGATTTAAATGATTATTTTAACATTTTATTGCTCTCATTATATTGTATAACCCTATATTAATAACTAAAAATCTATTTTTGCGATGAGTGACTAATTTGGCTACCCTTTACCACATATGTTTCTACTTGGGTAATAGTAACAAACAAAAACAAAAAATGTCTGAACAAGAAAAACATGTATAATTACAAAAATTATAAATTTAAATAGTTGAAGAAAAAATTGTATTGTTTGCATTAGGTGTATTTTTCCCCTTCTTGTGTGTTTATCAGTTTGTATGTTTTTTTCATCAAAGGTCTAGAAGTGGGTCTCTTAGTGCTGAATGGGCAATCCCCCATCCAATGAAACTTAAGTACAAGCAGATGTTTAATCAGAACGACAGACAGAGGAAGGGGTATCTGACTGGTGTTGAAGCAAGGGCAATTCTACAGAAATCACTACTCTCTAACGTAGCGTTAGCAGAAATATGGTAAGTAAACAAACAGATAAATAGTGAACAGCTGTAAGTAATACGAGAGAAATCTTAAAATGGTCATACAATTCTTGGACGTTCAGCGTAAACATTGTGTCTAAAACTGCTTTTAATTTTACTAGGCATTATGTTGGTTTTGGTAAATTTATTAATTTTATTCAAAAATATTTCAAAGTAGTGATCAGAGTAATGTGTTAACCAATTATGTCTTAGATATTTTTGAACAAAATCTACAAACAGTATCAATAAAAAGCTTGTCGGATAAATGTCGTAATTCTTGATATATGCTGTTGATATTCCAATGGGCATAAAACCATGCAGTCAGTGAGGGTGCCCTCTATAATTGATTTTGATTTGCAGTTGTGAGTTAGACATAAAATTTCAATCATCATTCTTTAGCTAAATTATAATCTTCTCCTAAATAGATTTCATTTATTTCAATGCAATTTTATAGCCAACCACAAGTTTATTTTTTTTGGAGCCTCGCTGATTGTAAAAGTACCGTGATAGACAAAAATCAGTAAATAGAACGCTGTCCAACTATTGAAGTTTATTTGACAAAACAAAACTGTTATATGCCCATATATATTCATGATGTGCCTATATATGGTCATGATATGATGTCATGATGACCATATTTAGGCGTATCACATGTTTTGGTCACATGAAATTTGTTAGTCTGGACATGGATAAATGCTCTGTCTATACTATAAAATGTTCTTTGAAAAAAAACTGGTGTATGCCCATATATGGTCATGATGTGATGTCATCTTGACCATATTTAGGTTTGTCAAATGTTTTGTCAAATATAATTTGATAGGTTGAACCGGGTTTAAAGCTTTGTCTACACTATCAAATTTCATTAAAAAAAATCATCACATAAAATGTGATGGAACATAGAGTTGAACACGTTTAACTTTTTTTGATACAATTTGATAATATGTGATATGACGTCATCGTACCCATATATGGGTACATCACATTTTTTTGTCACATAAAATTTGATAGTGTACACAAAGTTAAAGGACGGAAAATATTTAGGGTGGAAAGTGGTATCTAATAGTTTAACCTGATCATGTAAAATATCACCTGACATCTACAGGATGACCTAAATATGGAAGGGAAATGATGAGCAAGTATAGAGTTCCTGCCTCTGATATAATCTTTTAAAAGACACAATGAAGAATCATATAATGCCTATAGGAGGAAGCTATGATTAAATGTGTACAGACAGTTTCAATAAAAATAAATAAATTTATATCATAAGTGCAATCTATTGGTTATTTTTGTCTTGCAGTATATAAGAGACTAAAAAAGTTGTATTTTTCTATTTTGTCCAATTCCAAATATTTGAAATTGGAAATTTTGGCTAGGACCCTGGGACCCGCTGCAGCTCAGTCCAGCACCAGTACCGACATATAACGTATACATTGTCCTTTTCCAGGGCTAGAAATTTACTTTTTCAGTCACTAGCAACCTATTGCAAAAATGTGCTAGTTGTTAAAAATGTAACTAGCAAAATGAGCTTCTCAACTAGTAAAATATATTGATACCAACTC